AAAACCCATCTTCTTTCCTCACTTTGTGGAGACAGGGCAAAGCCGGTATTTATCTAAACCCTTCAGAAAGCTTAAGGCGATGCTTCATAATTGCAGCACAGTTCAGCTCAAAGTGAAGAAAAGAAACTTCCCTACAATTCTTTATATAAACTTCCTCCTTGTTTCTCCCTGTACCAGTTGCATTTATATCTCTGTTCCAGTTTGTCATAAACAGTCACCTTGTAACCCCTTTTATCAAGCAATCTATGCACTACCTGAAAGTACACTGCACTCCATCAGACAAGCTATAGGTTTACATTATACAAACATTCCGATTCTGCCTGCTCAGCGCCGGTTGTCAATAAATGCAAGCAATTGCAAAACAGCAATGTGTGTTTTTTTTCCTTAAAAGAACACTGATAGGGGCCTGCCAGTTCTGCAAAATAAACTCTTTGCAATCTCTGCAGCTAATCTGTCAACAAATTACTATTAAAGTCATACCTCCTAAAAGTTCAAAAGCATTCAGGATTAGACAAAAGATAGTGAGTTTTATACTCGTGGGGCAGTACTTGAAGCTCTGGTATCAAAGTGGATCTCACTATTGATGTGGAGAGGTTTGTATTTCTGCCACCACACAACCCAGCATTTGCTGTCTTGCTGCTAGACATCGGAATTCAACTTTGTATTCATTCTCTTTGTACAATTCCTATTCTCATTTCTCTGCTAATAACGTGAAGAACACTTTCATGAACAGTCCTGAGGATAAAAATAAAACACAATAAATAATATTTATTTTATAAGCTAATAAAAAAAAAAAAACCTGGCTAGGACTGAAGCATCAAACCATCTATTTGAGTAGATGTCAGAAACCACTGAAGCAACTAAAGCTGTGATCATCTACGTTAAAAGGAAGTTTGTCCCCATGAGTCTTTATTTATTGCTCCTTGGTAGGCAAGAGTCACCCCACCATTACATACTTTCTGTCCAAGCTTCTCTCACCAAGCCTGATTTTCAGCTCATGGGTCACTCTGACACCCATTTTGCATCTCCCAGATGTCTTCTGTGACGCCTCAGAGCTAATAGATATTGCCATGCTCTGCCTGGTACCCCATTCCCAGCTTTTCTGCCCCGTCTCTTGGTTCTGCCTCTGTGGCACATTGGGACCAAGCTCCTGAGCCCCACTACCTGTCCCCATGACAAATGACCACTTCTGAGCTCTTTAGAAAGTCCCAGGTCACCTTCATGACCTCCTACATTTAACCTCCTCCAGATTTTATAGGCAGGTCACAAAACCCTGCCCATTCCACCTCATCCTGACACTCATTCCCGTGCAATGCTAAACATCAGCACCTATGGAGCCAGGAACAGTGGGAAGCCAACCTCTCCCACCCTCAGCAGGAAATACTGCGGGGAAGGGTCTTCCTTCCCTTTCAGCCTGGTTCTGTGGGTGACTTCTCCTGTATGTATCTCCATTTTTATCCAGCTCTTCCACAGATGTACTGTCCCTCAAGAGCCACTTCTATTGCTTTGGCTTTCTTACCTCAAGATTGCAAAAACAAACACCCATTTTACTAAACTCAGGCTTTTCTAAAGTCTAAGAATACAATATCCACAGCCTTTCCCTCATCCACCAAGCGGTTCACCTTGTCATAGAAAGAGATCAGGTTAGTCAAGCAGGACCTGCCTTCTGTAAACCCATGCTGACTGGGCCTCATCACCTGGTTGTCCTGTACGTGCCGTGTGATGGCATTCGACATGATCTGTTCCATAACCTTACCCAGCAGCGAGATCAGATTGACAGGCCTGTAGTCCCACAGATCCTTCTTCTGGCCCTTCCTGAACGTGGGCATCACATTTACTAACTTCAGTCAACTGGGACCTCCCCAGTTAGCCAGGACTGCTGGTAAATGGTTGAAAGTGCCTTGGTGAGCACCTCCACCAGCTCCCTCAGTACCCTGGGGTAGATCCCATCTGGCCCCATAGATCTGTGTTTAAGTGGTGTAGCAGGTTGCTCACCATTTCCCCTTGGATTATGGGGGGCTCATTCAGCTCCCCATCCCTGCCTTCCAGCTCAGGGGCTGGGAACGTGACGAACAACTGGTCCTACTATTAAAGATGAGGCAAAGAAGGCATTAAATATCTCAGCCTTTTCCTCATCCTTGGTCACTATGTTTCCCCTCACATCCAATAAAGGACGGAGATTCTCCTTTGCCCTCCTTTTGTTGCTACTCCCAGCTTAACAGTACATTTTACAAGATTGCTAATGCCAACATAATTTAGCATCACATCACTCTCTGTTTCCTTGCATGGCAGACTCACCCTAAGATGACATGGGAAGCATAAAACTCGTCCTACAACTCCTCCCTGCACTTACTGGAAGAGTGCTCACACCACACACTGTTCCTTCAAACATACGAACATCTGTGGGGCTCCATATTTTTCCATGGGAAAATATTTACAAGTTTGTAAACCCATTAAAACTTCCTAAAAAACCTGAAGCATTTTTGTTTTCCTCTCTCATACTAACAAAGCTCGCAGTCCTTATAAATTCATAAATTTCACCCAAAAAAACGCGAACCAAAATTCAGCACAGATGCTTTGCACAGGCCATTCTGTGTCCAGAGCTCAGCCACGCTCTTCTTGGGAACACACAACCAACTGCAATAGCAAAGCTCAAACTACCCACCACCGATTATTTCTTTTTCTTCCAGACAAAACAAGTGCCAGGTGGCAAAAAGAAAAGATTTGAATGATATGTTCTGAAGAAATAGCTGTTTAATTCAGAACTCATTCATTTGTATTGACGAAGCGTTTTGTAGAACGCATTCTGTTAAGTGACCTGAGAGCATATGTTGTATACGGAGAAACATCTAAACATTATGCTCCATGTTGTATGTGTATCTGTAAATGCTTGCATTAGCTGTCTGAAAACAACGGGGTTTTCTTCTTTTCAGCATTTAAAAATATTTTCCAAACACAAAGATTGATATTTTTATGCTAGCTCTGATTACCCTTTTGTTGTTATCAGGTCTTTTTATTTGATTTTTTTTTTTTTTTCAGTAACTGTTTTAAACTTTGCAATCAACTTGCTTTTTTAAAAGATAAACTCCACAGAGAAGTTAGTCATCAAAACCAATTAACAGCAGAATTCAAACACAGAACATAAAGGTCTTTTAAGAACTTGGAGAAAAGCAAGCTCCCCGACCACGTTTATTGTACTGGCAGAGGATAAATAAACTAGAAGTGAAAATCTGAGCTGTGTGAAAGCGATCCCATGCCTGGCAGTGCTGCTCCCACAGGGGCTGGCAGTGCTTGTAGCTCTGCTGGGCACTGTTTTGGGGGAGGGCTGGAGGACCCACTTAGGAAGGACTTGGTGCCACTCCTTCATTGACCCAATGGGTGGCTGTTGACTGACACAACCCATTCCACAGGAGATTATGACCTTATCTCAGGTGGTGAGAGCCCTCTGGATGGCCACGGAGAAGCCTTGGCACGAGGTGCCGGCGGTGGAGGTTATTGACTGGTGGTGGGAGTGGAGGAGCAGAGGAACCAGAGCACTTCTGGTCTCCTGCATGCACACGTGTGTGTGTGTGTGTTTGCACGACCCCCACCCCTCGTTCCCCTCGGCACAAAGCAGCATTGGAAAATTCCACAGCCCTCCTATGGAAAACACAGCGTAATTAACTCATTTTGATACGAAGCCTTTTTAAGACGAGACCTTTGTGTTGAACATATTTTACTGTTCTCCACTCCTCTTCGACTGTCCTATATTAATCAAAGCTGTAACCCCTGTTGTCTTTGCACTACGAATCAGAATGTGCCCCTGGCGAAGAACGAGGGAAAAGTCAACAGGAATTAAGTTTCAGTGCAACTGTTTACTCAACTGTGGCCTGCAGTTATTGAAATTTTATCCGTGGTTTTGTGTGACTACTGCAGTAATGAATTCAGCATGGCTGTGATTTTCTCACTGATGGTATTCTCACTTCAAGTAAAAACCTGTAGGATGAAAATGATTGAAACAACCAAAGTCTACGCGTTTAGCACCCTCCATTTTTTTCTGACTTGTTTAATTATGGCAGCTTTCTGTCTCGGGTTGGCAAACGGGGTCCCCTGCTCCTCCGCAAGCCTTGGGTTCGCTTTGTTTTTGAGGGCAGGTTTTTTCTTCTCCACAACAACCTGCTAAAAAGATCCCCCGTACACTTAGGGGAGTCTTAACCAGCTGCCAATCGCTTATTTAAAAGGTTTGAAGAATGCTTATTGCATTAGAGAAAGTGCGGGTTAGGCGTGAAGCGTATTCACCACGGCTCTGCTGCAGCCTTTGTTCCCAAACACGTTACTGACACATGCCCAGCACTTTGGTGTAAAATTTCCTCGGAGGGTTTCAAAATTTTATCAGGGAAAAAGACAAAACGTATTACGAGGATCATTTACACCGGTGAACTTGGTCACTTCCCAGAAAATACACTAATTAAAATACAAAGGCAAAACACACACGATTTGGTTCCAGTTCTTCTGAATTGAGGAGCACTGACACAGGATGTATTTATTTATTTACTCTGACATTTTGCTGCAGCAGATACCTCCGCAGCCTTTCTCGCTAATAGAAAACATTCTGTTGATAGAGGTTGCTAGGTTATATTAAAATTTGTTGCAAAAACAAAACTTAACGTTAGCGTATTTTCCACCCAGCGACATATTTTGGAAACCAGTTATTTGTACACAGCGGTTCACCCAATTGCTGCCACCAGACTCAACACATTCAGGCAACGGAAGCCAGCCCTGATCTTTGGCTATTTCCAGGGAATGATTCAAAAAAAGAGCCCCGAAAGAAAAGTCCAACGTTTCCCTTTACGTTAAGGATCGCAATCCCCAATGGACACAAAAAAAAAATGTTGTAGGCAAGTTCTAAAAGCATCCTCTGATTGGCAAATACAAAGGGGTTGGGGGGTGGAGGGGTTAAATGCTTCACGCTTTTTTTTTTTTTCTGCAAGTAGGAAACTTGGAATATGTCTTTACAGTACCTGCTGTTGCTGAAGATGTGCTAAATCTGCAGCCCCAATTTCAACTGAAGGTGTCTCGCCGTTTGATCTCACTTCCCGCAGGCTGCACTCTAGTAAATGGTTGCCACCGCTCGCTCCATTCTGAATGGCTGAACCGTTACTTTTTGTCTCAGTCCCAGATTCTTGCATCATGACTCAAAAACCTGAAATAATTTAGGGGAAAAAAAAAAAAAAAAAAAAAAGCAGCTGTTAAAACAGTTGCTGTATATAAGGAGACATGCCCTGTTTTAAATCCTGCCAAAACTGTAAACATTTGTCATTTCCCTTCATACGATTTATCTTTCATTAATGGTTCATGCTACTAGTTTATGTTTATTTATCTGTTGGTACAGCTATAATTTTAGTAAGTTAGTTCTGTCCTAAATATAGTATTATTTGCTCAACATCTTTTTTCCCTTAGAGAAAAAAAAATATTTTTGAACGAACACACAGAATCCGTAATTAAATTTCTCTAGTTACATCTGGATGCTTTCCTTTGAAATGGATGAGTCACTCTTTGCACCAGATGATGGACAATATCAAGAACTGGATACACGGTACGTAGGGGCAGGTAGGGGAAGCTGAACGTTCCCTTTTGCAGTTTCCTCTTAGAGAATCACAGAATGAGATGGGGTCGGAAGGGACCTCTGGAGATCACCTCATCCAACCCCCTGCCAGAGCAGGTCCACCCACAGCAAGTTGCACAGGAACAGGTCAAGGTAGGTTTTGAACATCTCCAGAGGCGACTCCACCACCTCTCTGGGCAGGCTCTTCCAGGGCTCTGCCACCCTCAAAGGGAAGAAATTCCTTCTCATGTCTAGGTGCTTGCATCATGCTATAGCCAAATTAGCACCTTTTATTACTCTGAAGCCATTAAGGCTGAGTCCGGGATATGCTGGACACCATCAGCTTTCCATCTGGGGCAAACTGCGCACAAAATAAGGTTTTTTCGGTAATTTCTTGGCTCTGGATTTGGGTGCACTATGGCATTACGAAGAGCCTCCTGCATTATTTGGCTAAACACCACCTCAGTAGCCACAGCTATTCACAGCCAGCCCACACGGCTCGCCACTCGTGGTGGGTGTCTGTCCCCGGGTGCAGGTCTTGGGATTCACAACAAGGATGAGGATGATGAAGATGAGTGCCCCAGAGCTCCTGAGATTCACACATGTGGGAACTACCTGGCAGTGCTTGAAGACAAGAAGACCCTCCCAAACAAAGCACATACATCAGTTTTCAGCTGCAAACCACTACCTTTATGACCTTTTGATGAGTTGTTTTATAGGTATTTCTACCCGCTAGGTCCCAAGTTAGAGGATTTAAACGTTATTAACCTGCTTTGCTTCCACCAGTCCGTCCCACTCTCCCTCTGTGCTCCTTACCCAGGGAAACAGAGGGTACAGAAAGCCAAGTGGTGTGCTCCAGGCTCACTGCCTACCCCAGAGCTAACTCACCATCTGCACCTGTGAACCAGATTCACCTTGAGAATAAGATGCTTTATATTTAAGGAAGAACCTGTTTGAATTCAGTAACTACCTCAAATCAAAAGGGAAAGAAAAAAACCCCTCTCACTTCCAACATATAAGGGAAAGCATCAGTCAGAAAGGGTGAGAGAAAGCAACACATTTCAACGGAAAAGTACCACAGGAAAACTCTTTCCCTGGGAACTCGAAGCCCCAGGGCCACCAGGCACAATACCAGCTGGAGACAGCAATTCCTCCTTCCAGCACCATCTGCCCAGGTGTTTTCTGGCCCCAGGTGACATTCAGCATCAGACCCCATGCATAGAGACAGGCTCCAGCACAGCACACCAGTACCAGACCTCTCCTGCATTTGGTAGCTTCAGATGTTCGTAAGGATGATCCATACGGCTGATAATCAAAATGTCCTGAGACACAGCTGATTAACGAGGGCTTTGTCACCACCGTGCTCTGGCATTAGCAACACCTCCCTGACCCATGTCCAAGGTGGGTGAACCCCTCGTTAGCCGGACCCTGCTCCCATCCTGATGGGATCTATTCACTCCGACGGCCGCCCAAGCACATGGACAGTGCTAGGACAGATTCAAATGTCCTGATTACATTTAAATAAATTTCAGCTGGTCTATGGAAACTTCTTTCAGTCTGTTTTGTGAGATCTTCGAATTATGCAAGGGGACAAAAGGGCTTGGGGGCTCATTATAAAGCTCTTGTCAACTCCCTTCTAAAAGCTCCAGAGATCTAAACTAACCTACAGCTTTCCCAACGCCACTAGAAAATGCTTTTGGGTTTTAACATGATCCTGCTCTTACACAGACTAAGCGTGGTGTGGTTTTCATTTTCAGCACTATAAGGAAAGCCCACAAGCACAAGAAGGTCTAAATAAATGTTTAAACCTAACATGCAAGGCTGGATTACACACCGGGCAGCAGCTGCGTGGCACAGGCTGCTTCGCAAGGAGAGACAGGAGTGAGATTCTCCAGACAGCTCACAACTTACTCTACTAAGAAGGACACACCTCTTTTAACCAGAGCCAAATCAAGAAGAAATAACTGATGTTTGTAATTGTCTTCTGCTTCCATCCAAATCCGGGGTCAAGTCTCAACTGGAGAAAATAGGGCATTACATACATTTACCTCAGCAGAAGATCTGGACAAGGATGACCACCACGTAAGACTGAGTTAACAGGTTAAACCCAGAGACTCACGTCTTGGACTGTTGTGATGCCCGATGGCAATGAGTGGGTGGCACGTCACCACCACGTAGACCACACCCAACAGAGGAAGGACATACCATAGAACTGGTGGAAGGTGCCTCCAGCAGGTATTATGGTAAAAAGAGATGCTAAAACCAGTGTCCCCAAGCAGTAAAGAACTACATTTCCTTCTCCTCCAGTTCTGATGCAACAAATTGCCTGGAAGCGAGAACCTGGATAAACTGCTAAGGAGGGTCAGAGAAAGCACGGACCAAAGCTCCAAGATGCCTCTGCCAGCAGCAAGAAGAATGTGCACCACTGAGGAGCAGATCTATCACTGCCTGATCACGATTTGTTGGCTTGCCCTTCCGAGCGAAATATCTCCAGGACACAGAAAATAATTCACAACCAAACTGATCAAGAAATTATTTACTGTCTCTAGGATTGCAAAATGCTCCTGGAAAGAAACAACAGTAGAAATTGCTACAATTTTTCCAACCTGTAGGACTGAAAGAGGATTATTTATAGTATTTGGTCACAAAAAAAAAGATCATAGCTCTTGAGAGCCTTCTCTATGACAAATTTCATGCTCCATTTTACCTTTCAAAGAACCCTAACCAGTTGCCCCAGCCCCTCCACGGGCTTGTGCCCACTCTACGTCGCATACTCAGCAGAATCAGCAGCAGCTATCACGGAAATGGAGCTGGAAACGGAGTTTGCAAAGAGAACATCAAAAGAGTAGAATGAAAATTGTGATGTCTAGACTTTCAAAGAATTATTTTAAAAGCAGAAGTGAACATCTTTGAGCAAATTTTGCTTTAAAATCACCCATTCACGGGCAGTCAACTTCAATATACCTTCAACTGGACACCAATACAAAACAAATCCACTTTGCTAAAATACCTCCAATAGAAAACAGGATTTTCAAGGAAGAAAAGATAAAACTGTTTATTTCTTCACTGTAGTCAAATGTGAGTTGACATAAATAATCACAGTTTGGTTTGATCATTAAGCATCATGTCATGAAAATCAACCTGCGAGAGCTTTCTGCAAGAATGATTATTATTTGTCTTTTTTGAGCACACCTAAATGAGCTGAGGTGATAGTACACCGAGGATGGCTGAGATAATTGTCTCTTCTCAGCACAGAGGAGCGGGCCTTACAGAAGCCCATTAGTGAAGTCTGTCATTCAAAATCGTGCAAGACAAAAAGCAAAGCCAGGTTGACTTTATGTAACATGATTAGGTTCTGAGGAAACAGAACTGAAGCTTCAGGTCTAGTACCACAAACTGGGATTCTGGTCTGAACACAACCCTAAGTAACCAAAATAGTGCCGAAGAAGCTGTTCTGCATAATGATTTGTTATAAAAAATACAGTACTGCACTCCACAAAAGCTTCCATGACATACAAGATACAATGTTCTGACTTAAATTTAATGCAAAAGAGCACGTCCATCTTGTGTTCTAAAAAGCAGAATGACTCTTACATCAATTCTGCAAAGGCAAATATATTTTTACAGATGAGTTCTTACCAGTATAAGTATCTTTTTTTTCTTTTAATAAAAATTCTATGAAATTTCATGTTCGGAGGGATAGAGAATGACTCTTTAAGATTATGAAAGGTGACTCAAGATGTTTTTCCCCTACGAAGAGACCACAGCTGAGCTGCAGTATGAACAACAACTTGTAAAATGTTATCCTGACATCAAGGAGCACATAATAAAAGAACTGTTCTTATACGACTTAATGTCAGCCTGGTTTAAAAATCTCACAACGGTGATCAGTTTCTCAAGATTCCCATCTTAACCTGCACAAAACCCTTTCTAGCTTCAATGCACATTCAACTACAAAGCCAGAACCGTACAGTTTGGCCCATCTCCTTGGTGAATATGTTATGTTCGAGGCAGTGGAGTAAAATTTCATTGGAGCGGAATCAAAGCGAGGAAGTCTGTCAATAGAAGGACAACAGCTAATCATCTTCCAGATGACTTGCACAGGAGTAGGGGAGAGCTAATTTCTTAAGGGCATGGTCAAAATTGAAAAAACATAGGTCGGATGTGAACTTTGGCTGAATCAAAATGATCTGAGGACTCCAGCGTTGGTGTTCTGCACTAAAAAGACAGAAGCTGAAGGAATCCTAATTTTGAAAATGTCTCGTGCCAATCCATTTAAAAAAAAAAAAAAAAAGTCCATAACATCACAAAGACCAGATGCTGCAGATACACATCTCAGCTCCACTGGACTATTTAGATGAGCAAGGTTAAGCATGGAGATTAGTAGGCAGGAGGTGGGCATTGAAGTGTGCAATTTCTGCAATTCTTCTAGTAGTCTAGTTTCTAAAGACTAAGCAGCATTGTTTAATGTCAGCATGAGGGAGGATTTACTGACTGAAGCACCCGTCAGAATAAGGACCTACTGCAAGTCTGAAAGACTAAGGGACTGATATTCAGATGTATTTAGATGCCTCACCATACACGGAGGCATCTGGCGA